CATTTCATTAATTGTGATTGATGGTTTAGCAAAATAAATATTTTCACAATTGACAATGATAAATGATATGGGTATCATATCGGCTTCAAAATCCGGTTGTATTTCCTTCAATTGATTTTCTAAATTAATCATATCATTAGAATTTGCAGTAATCTTTTGCTTAACATATTTTTTATTTAAATTTTCACGAGCTTTTTTTATCACGATTACTCATGATTATATATGTTATTTCAATTAACTCGATCTAAAATTTTTTGTAGTATATTTAAAAACAAAACAAATGAATACATTATTTTCCCTTTTATTAAATTGAGGAAAAACAAACTTGATCATTTTCGAATCAAGTAGCAGATAAAGTAAAAATATATTGGAAGAAGTAAAGATCGATTAATAAACAAATACAATTTTGTACTATATAGCAGTGACATCTGTAAATAGATTATGCTTATCTGTAATATAGAGATGCGTACCTTTTACTACATGCTAAATTAACCTTATTTGACTTCGATTATGTTTTATCAATCGATTTGATACCTGTAAATATCTGTGGAAAAGTTATCGATATGATAATATCGATTGATTTTCTTGATGTTCAACATATTAGCATCATCAATTGCAAGAATTAAGTCGTTTGCAAAACAAAATATATCATTCATTATAAGTGGTACTTATGTTTAACAATTATAAATCTGATAAAATTCGCTATTCTTTACGATTTAACACGATCTAACTCGAAATTTACAACTTTAACGACATCCATGTGAATGATGTACGGCGGATTCCGTCAAGAAAGTCCCGAAAAATTATAGGAACTTGGAAGTAGGAAGATGATTTCTGGATCTGACAGTTAGATTTTTCTGGTTCCAACCGGAACTGACTATAACCGAGCAGAGCCGATCGCCAAATACGGGCATTGTATTCCTCCTTCCAAGATTTTATTATTTTCTGGTAATTTCCGACCGGAAACAACGTCTTTCCGACACGTTCCGGTTGATAATTCATAAAATCGGACACTAGAATTATTGATCTAGGTAGCTCTGTATGAATTGGAAATCCGGATTTCTTTTTTCTGAAGTTCAGAAAAAACTCGAATAGCAGCTTTATAGTCAGCTGTCATCATTTAAAGTACTCTTTTTCCTATCTAGAACATAAATAACGTTTGTTTATGTCCGCATAATCAGTTTCAATAATTGACTGGACATTTGTCACATTGATATGATTCACTGACAATTGTAGCAGAATTGAGATGCAACTCTCCGTTATTGGAGTTATTTCTAATTTCTTTTAATAGGATGATGATGATGAACTAGAGGAGTAGTATTACCATCACCCTCAATATAGACATTAACTACACACTACTCTGTCACTCCAGTTGTGTCCATATCACATAAAATACAAGACTATATAAGAGATCACGAAGAAGAGACCATGGCAAACGCATTGATAGAACAACAGAAAAGAAGAAGATTACCGATTGGAAGAAGAGAGTAATCGAGAGTAAGACTAGTATGTCATTTATTGTTTCATAAGTCAAGAACAATAGATCCTTGTCACCTCATTTATGAAGGATAAGAAAGTGTGTTATATTTATTTGCATTTTTTTTTTGCCGAATAATCAATAAATTCAGCTTGAAGCTAGAACTTCAGCAGTTATGACAATTATTGGTTATACCTTCTATCACCAGATCTGAGTTTTTATCTTAAATTGAACAAATTATAATGGATTCTAACATCAGGAAGAACGAAAGCTTATTATATTGTCGATCATTCATCAAAATTTGCATCAACATAAAAAGTTTAATAGAGAAATTTTATTTTGTGAAACAATGTTCTATTTAGTACTCAGATCGAGTAAGTCCGATTATAATACACTCTTTACGACAACACGATGACTATATCCAATATCGTTTACGTATCTTATAATAATACTACATTAATATGTGATATTTAAAATAAAGAAAATTTAAACATATACTTATTTGTAAGATAAATTTTATCAGGTTAATGGATATATTTGTTATATAGCATAAATCTATTAAGTGAAAGAATAATAAAAACCTTTTTCATACTATCGATAGAGTTTAAAACATTAGAAAATAAATAATTGTAGTTTTATATATATTCATATACAGAGACAAAGAATGCCATTAATATTGTCTTTAAATTTGTAATGCATGTGTTGTTTCATTAATTTTATCAACAATATACTATAGTCATAAATGTTTTATGGAAAATAAAATAAATAAAAAAAAAAAACGCATACTTTCACTTTACCAACATTGTTATAATGAACAACTTTAGCATACAAATTATCTTTCTTTGTTATTCCAAGTGCATTTCTTTCTTGACGAAATAAAATCATTAATCAGACGAAAATATTTAAATAAAATTTACGTTTAATGGAAATTTCAATAACATTTGGATGAAGTTTAATTTAAGGTGATCATTTTAATTCTTTATAATTAAATTTCCATTCATTTCTAAAGACCTAATGAAGATAAATTTTCGGTTAAAAATAATAAATGTCTCAATAAAAAAAAAAGATTTTTATTTTAAAAAATAATCAAATATACATTCTAATGACAAATAACAAATAAGGTGATCTATAGAAGCATTAATATGATCTATATATATATTTCTGTTTTATCATGTTTTTCATCATCTAATCTCTAAAATAAAATAAATAATATTTAATTTGAAATAAATAAAAAAAAACATAAAAAATAAAATTTGCCAAAGTTCCATGTACAATTAAAGGATGAACAATTCCATTTCGAGCGATATGAGTTGGACGTCTAAAACGATGAGTTATATCTTCATGTGTTGCAATTCTTTAAATAAATAAAGGATGTGGGTGTGGG